GTATACTAGCTGAGGGGTGCATTTTCTGCTACATTCCCCGCCCCTTTTAGTTTCCCTGTCAAGTCTTTGCTGGGCATATTACATGTGTCTTCTGAGACAAGGCCGAACTAAAAGCAGTAGATATAATTCAGGCCTGCCTGTTCTGTAACGTTACTCTGGCAAGGGAGTTAATCTGATATAGGAAACTGTCCAATATGCCTTGGACACTCATTAAATCTTAGTCAAGTGTTTGATGGATTGTGCTATTCTCTTGCGGCAACTGTCCATAGAGTTTAAGGCAAAAACAAAACAAAACAAAAACAAAAGACCCCAACTAACAGGGGGCAAGGAAGCAAAGACTGGAGTAAACAGCCTGAAAAGACACAAAAATCATGTGGAACAGGTACAGAGCAATCCTGTAAACAACATCCTCAGGCTGCAGCTGTGTGTGGACTAGCCAGCATCCAGTGACCAGAGCAGGGCTCTGAGTGTGTGATCTCTTCAGAGTGAGGCTTAGCAGCAATCTGTCTCAAAATAAAATAGACGCCACAGGCCGTGGTAGCACACACCTGTGATCCCAGCACTTGGGGAGGCTAAGGCAGGAGGATAGTTGCAAGTTTGAGACCAGCCTGGGCTACATAGTGAGATCCTGTCTCTAAAAACAAAAAATAAACAAGTAAAAATAAAATAAAATATTCAAATGGGCTAGAAATTATGATAAGTGTGTTCGAAGCAAAGGGAAGTATTTTGAGAGGAATTAATGGCAATATATCTTTAACTATAATAAGTTGTACTTAAACATTCACTTTCTACTTTCTACCTCATTGGTCAACCATTTGTGGCAATTTCTGACAAATAAGAACATCATAGTTTGTCTTCATCCCTTTATTCACCAGCTGTGGTACCTCTGGCTCTTCCCCAAAGTCAAAATGACTATGAAAGATAAAGCTTTGAATCAATTCGGAACATAGAGGCAGCCACAACAGCACAACAAAAGATACTCACAGAAGAGGACTTCTAGAACTGCTTCAGAAAGTGTCCAGGTGATGGGATGGGTGAATTTAAGTGAGGGGCTGTATTTTGAAGAGGAGTAATGCCAGTGTGTCTTCTGTAATAAATGGGGTTTTTGTTGTTTTTGTTGTTGTTGTTCTGTTGGGGTTTTTTTGGTACCTGGAATCGAACTCAGGACCTTGCACTTGCACTTGCCTGCCACAGGCAGGCACTGGGGCGCTGCGCTATATCCCCGGCCCAATAAATGTTTTTAAATAAATAAATATTAAAATAAAAAGGATTGGAGATATAGCTCAGTAATAGCGTGCTTGCCTAGCAGGTATGAGACCCTGGATTTGATCCCCTACACCACAAAAATAGAAGGGAAAATGCAAGTCATTCTGACATCCCACAAATGCTAGCTCTAATCATAAACAAAACACGTACAAAAACCACAAGCTATATCCACTTCAGCATGACTCAGTGAAATTAAACCAATCAGATCTAGGCCAGTCAGCTTAAACAGCTATTTGCCTTTCCATGAATGTTCACACAGAAGAGCTGATCACTAAAAGGGGCAAAATATTTTCTCCCTAACACTTTCTAAACTGTCCTAACTGATCAAAGGGTCTTCTTACCACCTGGGCTGAAGTCTCCCCAATTCCAAACTATACTTTTTGTATTTTTCCTGAATTGATTTGAGACAAGATCTCACTATGTAGTTCAGGCTGACCTTAAACTCATTATATAATGTAGCCTACGTTGGCCTCACAGCGATCCTCCTGCCTCAGCCTCCTGGGTCTTAGGGTTACAGGGGTGCAGCACCACACCCAGCTCCTAGATGTGACTTTTTTTTTTTTTAGAGTAAATAATCCAAAAGTTTATTTGTGGCGGTGGGACGTAGGAAAATTCATTTCCATGGGCTAGGAGAAATTTAAACCTAACAAGTCTTAGAGTTATAAGGTTAAAAGACACCCCCTCCCTCATCCAACTTAGAACAGAACAATAAATGTAGAGCTTGACCCTGACCTTCCATCCATGATATTGACAACAACAAGCAGAGACTGTCATTAGGTTCTGACAATTATATACGGCACGTTGAATTTCTTTCTGTATTCCTTAGAGTCTTCTCCACCAACTAAAAGTGTAAAGCCTATTCATAATCTGAAAATAAAAAGCAGGAAGTACCTCAATATTGCTTTTACTTTTGGTCTCTAAAACCATGCAATATTTGAACATGTGTGTGGTGGACTGACAACTGGTGGTCAACTTGTAACACCCAGCTGAACTCAACCAGCATGGAGCTGGCTGTGGGAGGCCCACCTGAGGATTGTTGCCAGCAGCCTAAGAAGCAGAATTGGAGAGGAAGAAGTTTAGAAGCTGTTTTTGGGAAGCTGTTGGAAGGTGTAGGGAGCTGTAGGGAGCTGTAGAGAGCTATAGGGAGCTGTAGGGAGCTGTAGGGAGCTGTTAGGAGCTGTTGGGAGCTGTTGAGAGCTGTTGAGAGCTGTTGGTTTTCCAGGAGGAGCTTGTCATGCTGGCTTTCCTGATGAACTCAGCTGTTCTTATCGTCGAAGGAGCTTGGGACCTTACTGTCACTGAGAATGACTACACTTCACTTTGGGGGAGCTCTGGTCCTCACATTAAGCATCACTTCCTGGCTCCAGAGGGAAGATGGTACACCGCTCAGTCTCCTGGCGAAGGTTATCGTGTTGGCTTTCCTGATGGGAATTTGGCTGTTTTCATCATCAGAGGAGCTCAGGACCTCACTGTTGCGAGGATGGCTGTGGTACTTTTCAGGGGAGCTCTGGGTCTTACTTTGAGCATCGCTTCCTGGCTCCAGTGCAGATCTCTCAGCCTGCTAGCACAGATCCTTCATCCTGCTGGCATAGACTTTCTAGCTTCCATCACTGACCTTTGGGCCTTCTCAGCGTAGATCCATGAAACAGACCTGCATGAGACATCGTCATGGGCTCTTGGTCTCCAGCTGGACTTATGGAGGGGAATTGTTATGAGTTCTAGGACTTCAGCTGGACTCATGTCAGACATTACCATGGGATCCAAGCCCTCAGCTAGATTCTTTGGTCTTTAGTGTATGGACAGATTTCCTTCACTCTTTTTGTATATGACAAAAAGAGTTTTTGAGTGACTATTATAAAGTAATTGTAGGGGCCAGGATATAGCTCAGTGGCACAATGCCTGCCTGGCAAGCCCAAGCTCATCAGTTTGATTCCCTGTACCAAAAAAAAAAAAAGAAAAGAAAAAAATTTAACTTATTATAAAATAATTCTATAAATTATGTGTCCTGTATTGTTCCCCTTGCAAAACCCCAAACTACAACAATGTGTATCTGATTTATTTCACTTAAGACTATGGTCTCTAGGTACCTCCATTTAACTAGAACTGTCACAAGTTTATCCTTCTTTATAGCAGAGTAGTACTCCATTATATTTTTAGCAGGGGTTTTTTTTGGGGGTACCAGGAATTGAACCCAGGACCTTGTGCTTGCCAGGCAGGCACTGTGCCACTGAGCTATGTCCTTGGCTCCTGCATTATATTTTTTTAAACCCATATCTTTGTCCATTCATAGGTTGATAGGTATTTGGGCTGTTTCCAAGATTTAGCTATTACAAACTGTGCTGCCGTAAACATGGGTGTCCATACATCTTTATGCTATAATGCTTTTAATTCTTTTGGGAAGATACCAAGAAGGGGAATGGCTGGGTTGAATGGAACCTCTAGTTTTAGTTTTCTGAGGAATCTCCACACTAATTTCCACACTAGTTACACCAGTCTACATTCCCACCAGCAGTAGAGAAGGGTTCCTTTTTCTCCACAGCCTCGCCAGCATTTGTTACTGGTTGATTTCTTGACAATAGCCATTCTTTCTGGAGTGACATGGACTCTCAGTGTTGCTTTAATTTGCAACTCTCAAATGACCAGTAATGTTGAACACTTTTTCATCTATTTATTTGCTGTTTCTGCTCCTTCATCCGAGAGGTGTCTCTTCATTTCCGATGCCCATTTTTGGGTTGGGTCTTTAAATTTAGGAGGTCTGCTTTTTTTTTTTTTTTTTTTTTTTTTAGATGTTAGTCCTTAGTCTGAGGAACAGACAACAAAAATTTTTTTTTTGCACTGTGTGGGTTGTCCTTCTGCTCTGTTAGGGGTTCCTTTAGCTGTGCAAAAGCCTTGATGTGATTCTTGACACTGTACGAATACCATGCAAGAAAGCAGCTGGCACATATGGAAACCTCAGGCCTACAGAGCAAGGCACCCTCTTTAACAGAGGAAGCAGGAGAAGGAGCCCTTGGCTCCTCCAGCTTGGAAAACACAGCCTGTGGGTTTCGGCCTGTTCCTAAGTCCTCAGGTGCCACCCGTGTTCAGGGCATAGCATTCTCCAATCATACAATATAGCTGCCCAGAAGGAAGTGAGAGGATCTGGAATCCAAATGGATTTTATATAAAATGCATCTTTCTCAAACTTTCAGAGGAAGTTTTCTATTTAAAGACATCCTGTTATGACCTTTCTGGTAAAGAATGCTTTCCTAACGGAATTAGTCACCACTGATTCATTTCTGCCACTTTCACAATTGCGATTTTGCCTAAACAAGGACCTGGCTTAGAGAAGTTAGATAAATTATAGATACCCTTAATAAATTATGTAGTACCCAAAGGCAAAAGTTTTCTTTTTTTGTTGTTGTTTTAATGATGTGTATGTAAACGAACGAGACCAACACTGGGACTTCAAAGTGTGGAGGATCCGCCAGCATCTAATCACAGCCACATCTTTCTTTCGTGGGTGTGAAAACAGGCTTAAGGATAAAAAGTTTGTGTCCAGCTCGGGAGTGAGCGCACGAACAACAAAGAATGATTCGGAGCAGCCCTGGAAGCAAAGGACTATTCAGCAACAAGCCCTGAAAGATTCAGCCGCATACTTGCCACGCCCTCCGTTGCCGTGACAACCGTGCTGGAGTCTGGGCGGGGCCATAGACGCAGAACCACCCCCGCTTCCCAAGTGTTTCCCGACTCTTGCTTGCGCATGCGCTTGTGGGCCGGCGTTAGGCTGGAGGAAGCGGAACTGGCCTTGGGCGCCTGATCTAACTTCTGGATCTGTTGGAGCATTAGGGTTTGAGCTGCTCTAGAAGCGTAAGAATCTCCTCTGGGTGCCTACTTGAGACTGCGAGCCAGTCAAGGAGACCCTAGAGAAGACTCCCGCCTTCTAAGCCAGCCCTCTTTCTCAGAACTGAGATCGTGATCTCCCAGCCTCGGTTTCCCGGTTTCTGATTCTCAGCCGGTGTTCAGAGGCGGCTTTGAGGATTTAAAGAACCCGGAGCAGGGCGGGCCCCACAACAGCTGGAGGAGGTGGGTATTATTGTCTAAATCTTGTAAGAAAAGAAGCTGAGATCCAGACATCAAGCGACTCACACCGAGGGCTGAGCTGGAGCCTGGCAGAACGTGGAGGGAAAGGGGTCCACAGAAAGCCCGGGCTGGGTGAGGGCTGTGCCTCCCAGGGGTGTGCGGGCTGTATTTAAACAAGGAGGGGAGAAGGATTAAAGCCAAGAAATCGATTATGCCCACCAGACCCAGAACACCGTCCGGGCTATAAACATGGTGGAGGACATTGTTGGATTTAGGAGCACAGAGTTGCAGACTTTAGACACTATACCTTTGCGGGCTGGTTCTTCAACCCACATGGCATGGCCACTGCGGTCAAGATCCCCCCGCCCCCAGCTTCCTGTCCATCCTGAGCTACTGTTTTGGTTTCTGTACTTACAGAGCAAGTTTCTTCTCGCTCCCCAACTCCCTTCTCCTCCCTCGCACCCTCCCTCTCTTTTCTTTTCTTTTCTTCTCTCTTCCTCTCTCTTCTGTTTCTTCCTAAACAGGGTCTTGCTAAATTGCCCAGGCTTGCCTTGAACTTGGAACCCTCCTGCCTCAGCCTTGCAAGTGTTGGGATTACAGGTGTGTACCACCACCTTCGGCTTCTTAACCTCAGCATTACTGACCTGGAGGGCATGAACGTTTTTGTAGGGGGACAGTCTTGAGCGCTGTAAGGGGATGCCTAGCTTATCTGATCTCCAGGATGATTCACTGCCACCTCAAGCTATCACACCCCAAAGTCTCTCCACAACACCAGACATCACCTGGCGACAAGATGGCCCCAGTTCTGAACAGACCTAGAGCCAAAAATCAAAAGACAGGTACCTCTGTTAGTTTTCACTAAATAAGTTTCAAATTCTTTAACCATTGTCATCTGCTAAAAATGTGTGTATGATGTCATCCTCCACATAGCCAGTTTGTTATCTGACAGTACCAAACGGAAAATGCCAGAGATAATTTGTAAGTTACAAATAATTTTTATTTGGTATATTACTATAATTCTATTTTATTATCTACTGTAAATCTTACTGTGCCTAATTCATCAGTTAAATATTATGTATGTGTGGGACCAAATAAAGAGTATATGTTAACTAACCCCTAGTACTGAGGTTTTAAATGGCCCACCAAATGGTACTGCATAATCCTAGCACTTGGGAGGCTGATGCAGGAGGATCACTGTAAATTTGAGGTCATCCTAGACGACGTAGTGAGTTTGAGGCCAACCTGAACTACATAATGAGACCCTGTCCCAAAAAAATCAAAAAATTAAACAGATGTTCCAGAAACAGGTTGACCCAGTTAAAGTATGAAACAGTGGATGACTGTAGTGTATATTTCAACTGAGTAGAACAAGTGCCAGTCAAGAATCAGGAGGCCTGAGTTTGGCCCCAAATCTGTCACTGTAAGCTCTGTGATCTTATCACTTACCTTCCCAGGACTGGTCTTCCGCTGTCATGTGAGGTTGGTAAGGTGAGTTTGCAGTTCGAGGACAGGAACCCATAGCCTGGTACATAGTAGGCAAGTGCTGAACCTCTTGAACTATATCCACAGCCCCTTCTGTTTTGCAGGATCTTGCTAAGTTGCCCAAGCTGGCCTCCAACTTGGGATCCTCCTGCCACAGCCTCCTAGGTAGGTGGGACTACAGGCTGTATCATCGTGCCCAGCCTGTGACTTCTCAAGACCTGGAATTGTGCAGGATCTGCTGACTGTCCCCTCCCATGGGCACAGAGACCACCCAGCCTCTGCCTGTGACTTGTTCTCTACATGTCTTTTGTTCTTTCAGCCTCCCAGCCTGGTCTCCTAAACACATCTTCCCAAGTCAGTTCTTTCAGGCTGTTGACAACAGACAAATTCATTATTTTTCCTGATCTAACAAATAAATCCTGGTGGTGGTTAGCACAGCAGAGGCAGCAGCTTGTTTGTAGGAAATGACTGTGTTTAAGCACAAGACACCCTAATGCATGAGGAAAAATGTAAAAGTGCCCTTTTGAAATGCTCTGTGATAGGGTGCAGAAATTATGGGTGAGCCCAGGGATTCACAGCAATTATTCTGACCTGGCTAATATTCAGTATTCATCCACCTGGCTCTCCGCGTGCTTCATAGTTGCCAGGTTAGGGTAACGGGTCAGAAGTGTGTGTGACAGCAAGGAGTCACATATATTTGGCCACAGAAATTTGAGGTTCAGATCTGCACAAAGAGAGGAGAGCCACACAATAATTTTTAAAAGATGAAAGTAAGTTTATTATAAAAGTACAGCAGATATGAGCATAGTGAAATAATATAGTTCCATACAATGAGGCAGGAGACAGCACCAAAGATGAAAGGGAATCCTCTGGAGAAGATTCTTATATAAGATGGAGCCTTCAGCAGACAAGACAAAATACATTGCTACAGTTTCTCAGTTCCTTACGTACAACATTCAAACAAAAGTGACTTGGTGCCAGCAGGCTGGGACTGTGTTCCCAGGAGGTAGCCATCCGACACCTCAAAGAACATACACATTCCGAGTGACTCATCACTTTAACCCTCTTTTGGCAGTGTGCTATCCAAAAAGAGTGGGAATTTGAAGCATTTGGGATCCAGCTTATAAAAAGGGGTCTGACCAGGGTAATCCACACTGAGCCCACTAGAGCATAAGCTCCAGAGAGCAAGACAGTTTTATTTACCTGGGTGCCATGGCACATGCCTGTAACCCCAGCTATTCATGAGGCTGAGGCAGGAGGATCCCAGCCTGCATAATTTAGCAAGGTCTTGTTTAAAATTGTAAACAAGGGGCTGGGGATTTAGCTCAGCAGCACAGCGCCTGCCCGGCAAGCGCAAGGTCATGAGTTCAATCCCTGGTACCAGAAAAAATAAAAAATAAATAAAATTATAAACAAAAAGGCTAAGGGTATGGCTCAGTAGAGCACTTGCCTAGCATGCACAAAGCCCTGGGTTCAATTCCTAGTATGGCCCCCAAAAAAAGTGAGTGAAAGAGAACAGGAGATGCTTACCTCTTGAAGTCATTCTTGGCAGCATGGAACATCCTGGCATCTTCCCAACCCTAAGCAAAGGCTTTTAGGAACTTGGTGTGGTGGTGCATGCCTGTCATCCCAGCATTTGAGAGGATGAGGCAAGAGGATCACAATGAGTTCAAGGTCAGCCTGGGCACATGCACATTCCACGCACACAGTTCAAGGTCAGTCCGAACTACACAGTGAGACCCTGTCTCAATCTCCCCTCAAAAAAGGCTTTTAGGAAACCAGAAATGCTGTAAGTATCTCTTTTTTAAAAAAAAATTTAAAAACTAATAAAACAACAAGACAAAATCAAAACAACATACAAACAACAAAAACAATACATGACCTCAAAACAAAATGATAGGAATTAACAACAGTTGCTGCATTACATACTGTTATCATCAACAAAGTTGCTCAGTCCACCAGACATAAGAATGTAAGATTGGTCAAACAATCAAAGACTGTAACAATTAAAAAAATAAAACTGGAAATGATGCAGAGCTTCACCATACAAAATGGTAGGAGTTCAACAATGGTCCTTATAGTGCATATTGTTAAAATTTATATGTATATATGAGGATAGCTGGAATAAGTGTATTGCTGTTGTCTGTGGTTTATTGAAAGGAATAGTCAATGCTTGAATTTTCTTTTTTCCTGACCAGTTTTGCATGCTTGAATCTGGTAATCAGAATGACTGATCTGCTGTAAGTATCTCTTATCTCCAGTTCCCTGTTTTCTCAAATTCAAAGACAAAAGAGATTCCCAGAGACTGTCAGGCACTTGTTGCCCAGCAGCTCAACTAAAATAACAGGGAAGCAACAGAACCAAGCATAGCACCCAGTAACTTCTGAGAATCCACTTTCCCCGGCCCTACCAGGGCCCCTGTTTAGTCTGAGTATGGTTTGTCTCCCGCCCCCTGCAACCTCGAACTCGTGCTGAGGCACCTGTGAATGGCACCTGTGACCATTAATTGTGATTGTCAGCCTGACTGGATTTAAAAAGCCTGCCAGGAGCTAGGGATTTAGCTTAGTTGTGCAGTGCCTGCTTGGCAAGTGTGAGGTCTTGAGTTTGATTCCTGGTAAACTGCCCCTGCCAAAAAAAAAAGACCAGATTAGTGACATATGCTTCCAGGATGCATCCAGGTGGGGCATGGTGGCCTGACCTTGGGCTCTGTATCTGGTTCCCAGCCCTCTTTCCACACACTTTCCAACCTGCTTTGCTTCCCCACTTCCATGAGATGAGCAGCTGTCCTCCACCAGGCCTTCCCACCATAATATTGCTGCCTTGGAGCCAGCCACAGACTGAACCATCTGAAACCGTAAGGCAAATCAACCTCTCCTTGAACCTGTGGGTGTTAGGACTTTGTGCCAGTGGAGGAGAGGTGACTGACACAGTGGCCAGTGTGGCAGTGTAAAAAGGAAGCAGGAGCTCTCAAAGGCGTTTGGGCAGTGGGTATGGAATATGACTCATGGCTTTCTCCCAGGGCTAGGTTGATTATCAAGGTAGGATCAAGTTCTTATTCTTGCAGGACTGGACTAATTACAAGAGTTGGTTGTTTTAAAGCAAGGCTGCACCTTGTGCTTTGCCTCTTGCTTCTTCCCCTACATGCACCCGCCTACCTCCACCTGCCTGTGTGCTTTCCCCTCTGAACTGATGTAGCTTGAAGCCCTCCCCAGTGGCCTCCTCAGCCCCTAGAGCTGTGAGCTAAAACAAAATGGTTTATATATCACCCAATCTCAGCTACTCTGTGAGAGCAACAAAACAAACTTAAGAGCCACAAACACTTTTTTTCTTTTCCAGTACTGGAAATTGAACCCAAGGCATTCACACTGGGCTACTTCCTCAACCCTTTTATTTTGAGACAGGGTCTCAGTAAGTTGCTAAATTACCCAGGCTGGGCTGGAGCCTGCATTCCTCCTGCTCCAGCCGTCCAGAGTGCTGGGATGATAGGCACACAACACCACACCTGGCTCAGGCACAGATGCTTTTAAAAGTTCATGCACCTTGTAAAGTACGAGCAGTGCCTAAGGTGGACCATACACAAGGCTATGGGTTCCTCAGCACTGCAAGAAGAAAAAAAAAGTACCCAAGTTACTCATATTCTTGTATGTAAACAACTACAAAAATAAGGTAAATGCTTCTGTTGTGTTGTTTCTTCCTGCTACAGAGCTGCAAAGCATTGTGGGACCTCTGGCTTCCAAGTGCTCTTCCATGCTTAGGAAAGGAAGGTCCCCATTCTTATTCACAGTCAGCCCTGTCTTTTTCTTTTCAGATCCACAGCTGCATAAGTAGCTTTCACGCCACGGTGTGGATGCAGCCCATTCATTGTGTCACCACCTTCCTGCTGTCACACATGAAGGGCACATTTGTAAACAGATGTTCCTTTGCAAAGTTTTGTTTTCAGCAAAGGACCTCAGCAGCAGAGTAAGTGGACTTCAGTAGCCCCGAGAGCAAGACAGGCATGGACTGTTTCTGTAGGTCCCCTTCTCCAGAGCCTTAGGGTCAGTGGTGGCTGTCACTAAGGCTCCCTGGATGTCCCTGTGCTTGGTACCTGGCGGCAGAGAGTGGCCCACTCAGAGCCAGAGTCAGAGTGCCCTAGGAACTGGACCTGTCTGCTCGGCTTCCAAGCTTGTACTAGGAAGAGAATTCTCTTTCTTTTTTTTTTTTAGACAAGATCTCAATGAGGCAGTAAGTTACCCAGGCTGGGGTCAAACTTGAGACCCTCCTGCCTCATCCTCTGAGAATGTAGCAATTACAGGCATGAACCACTGCACTCACTTGAGTATTCTCTAGAATCATTTGAACAACTGAGAAACTAAAATGCAGGCAGGCTTCCATGTCTGTGAGTTCTATATGCATGGATTCAATGAGCCACAGATCAAAAATATTTACATGGGATTTCAGAAAGTGCAAAAGAACAAAACTTGACTTTGCCACACTCCTGGTACTCCACTGACAGACAACGGCGAGGCATTGTGTTAGGTGTCGCGGGAAACCTACAACCCAGTGAAAGTCTGGGAAGAGGTGTAGGTTCTGTGCAGATACTGTGCCATTTTGTTTGACAGATCTGAGTGTCTTCGGATAATCTGGTGTCCTCCGAGGTCCTGGAAGTGTCCCCTGCAGACACTAATGGGTGACTACTGTCCTGACTACACCAGAGTCCCACAGAGGCCTGAACTGACTTTTCCATTTGGCCTCTAGTTGGTGTGGAC